CTTTATTTCTTATTGGTGTCGTTGCTATGTTGTTGAACTCAAAGACTAAGACTTCTTGCGGTCCCAACAATATCCCCAACATATTTCTGCGTCGCTTTGCAGAGTCTGTTGCAAAATACTTACTCGTCATTTTTCGAGTCTCTCTGTTGTCAGCGGAATCGCCAGATGACTGGAAGTCGACACGAATAGTTCCTATATTCAAGAAAGATGACCATGTAGTACTACAAAATTATCAACCGATCTCCTTAACGTCATCATGCTGTAAGCTTATCGAACACATAATAGCTCATAAATTAAATGAATTCTTAGAAGAAGGCTCAGTTTTAACAAAACATCAACATGGGTTTCGAAAAGGATTTTCTAGTACAACACAATTGGTTACTATTGTTCATACCTTTGCAGCTTGTCTTGATGCTAACGAATTTTGATTGATTAATATGTGGGGTTTAACGTCCCAAAACCACCATATGATTATGAGAGACGCCGTAGTGGAGGGCTCCGGAAATTTCGACCACTTGGGGTTCTTTAACGTGCACCCAAATCTGAGCACACGGGCCTACAACATTTCCGCCTCCATCGGAAATGCAGCCGCCGCAGCCGGGATTCGAACCCGCGACCTGCGGGTCAGCAGCCGAGTACCTTAGCCACTAGACCACCACGGCAGGGCTATGCTAACGGCCAAATTGAAATATTCTTAGACTACAGTAAAGCATTCGACACAGTTCCACACGATAAACTAATTATAAAGCTTCGGTTAGTTGGCATACTAGAATTATTTATCTCCTGGATTTCAGCTTATCTACTCAATCGCAACCAATATGTTCAGGTAGGAGAAAAACAATCGGGCTGCCTTCCTGTGACTTCTGGCGTTCCGCAGGGGAGCGTACTAGGCCCCCTTCTGTTTCTGGTCTACATTAATGACATTGTCAATGTAATTAGCACCCCGGTACAAATTCGTTTATTTGCTGTTGATTGTGTTTTGTTTAGAGATGTATCCTGCATTAGTGAACAATGTGATCTTAATACTAACTTAGGCAATGTATCAAAATGGTTTGAACAATGAGGAATGCTTCTTAATGCAAACAAATGTGTGTATCTCCCCATAACATGCAAAAAAGTCCCATTAGACTACACATACAATTTAGCTGAAGCACCTTTACTTAAAGTAGCCTCCTATAAATACTTAGGTTTAACGTTAACATGCACCTTATCCTGGAACTGTCCAACTATAATCGCATTGCCAGTATAACTTCAATGAAATCCAACCTAGTCCTCCCTTCACTTGCATCCCATCGTAAAATATCCCGCCTGGCCACTTTTCACAAAACATTCTATCATCCTGCCTTTTATAACCACCTAATCCTCAATCCTCAGTACATATTTCATGGTATCGACCATCGTCATAAGGTTAGCATTGCATTATGCAACAGGCAGTGTTTTTATCAATCATTCATACTTTGTACATCAGCAGATTCGAACTATTTACCCAAAGACATAGTAACTATTACTAATAACCATCTTTTTTGTCAAGAATTACCTAATTTTGTATAAATTAAAAAGTGTACAAAGCATTAAGCTATGCATTTTATGTATTATGTTTATATTGTATTGAAGCCGTTGTCTTTACACAGATAATATTATATAATGAGAGGTTTTTGTTTGTTGAATAACTTATTTTCATGCTGTATTCTGTTCCTGGTAAACTTGTAACCACTCCCCTCTATAATGCCACATGACCTTGAGGCTAAATAAAATGAAATGAAATGAAAATCTCCTATAGGCATCCGCTATGGTCCGCTGACCAATGGGCGCATCGTCGGGTCTACGGACCAATGGGCACGTGGTATTGTTACTTCATCTTATACTTTATCTGGTCGATCGCGATTCGTGAGTGTCTTCCCATAACGAGTATAAACTTGCGTGTTTTAAGGTTAGGGTCTGCCGCTTGGTTTGATTGATAACGCAAAGTGCAGGTGGGCAATGTGGCCTCCATTTCTCACTTAAGGCACATAAGATAATTTTGAAGCTGGTCGTGCATTTTGGCGCAACATGGTGCAATTTCAGCAAATTTCGTGCTTTTGGCGCAGCTCGGTGCAACCAAGAGGAATTGTATAAAATTGTGGGAATCGTATCAAATTGGCGCAATTGGCGCAGCTGTTGCACCCCTGATAGTATCCGAAACTGCAAATTGAAACCATAACTAGCAGCAAACTTCACAACTAACTAAACCCTAAACCATCCTAGCGAAACCCTCCTAGTTCCACTCAAGATTCTGGCCGATCTAACCTGACACAGATGATGTGCACTTCGTGTCAATGCCTCTATGTCTGTCAATGTATTCGTGTCAATGTGTCAGCTCCCTGCCGAGCTGATAGACTCAAGATAGCATTCGTACATTTGGAAAATTAGGTCAAAATTTGGGAGTCTCCCAGACGGGAGAGTTGGAAGGTGTGCTTCAGGTTTGGTTTAACGAGAGTCTACAACAGATGACTTTGTTTGGAAGCTGCAGATGTGTCTCCAGCACAGCTGCAGTCCTTTCCATAAGAATGACACTTGTCAAGGTGCTCAGAAAGGTTACACGAAAAAGATGTCAGCATTGAAGTGCAGATTCTCAAACCATGTACTTGCAGCCCCATTTAGATAAAAGTAGATGTGACATCTTCAGAATCTCAGTTGTTGAAGGTGGCGACTTGGCCGGACATTTCAAGTTAGCTCTCTGGGTCTCCATGGAGAGTAGGTGGCTTGCTGGGCTTCTGCATCATGACTGTCATGGGTGGCACATCGTGACTGCCACCTTAGCCAACACGGTTTCTGGCAGATCTCCATATTTCAGAAGGACAGCTTTAGTGTGACCTTGAAGGCACCACTTTTAGTGAGCGTCTAGAGCATGAACGAACCTACCCCTTCGCCAGGTGTCACACAAATGTTAGGAAAAAAAAAAAAAACATTTTCATAGGTGAACTTGTGCCTAGAAAATTAAGTATAAATGACTGTACAAGTGAAGCATGCTGTACACTGATCACAGTCATCACCAGTTGGTAATCTGATAATTGGCAGCATGCGTCACCCAGGGGTGCAACAGATAAACAGAATTTGGAAAATTTTGTAGCAGTAAAAAGTTACATTTGGAGCATGAAAATCCAAATCTGGAGCTGGCTACGGTAAAAAAAAAAAAAAAAAAAAACTTTTTATTATGAAAGACTAAATTTCAATCAGTATATAAAAAAAAAACTTACATTTAGAAAAAAAATATATGCACAAATTATTCAACTCACCTAAATCGTGCAGAGAGAGAACATGAAGACTGGCATTTCAATAAAAGCAATATTCTGAATTAACCCACTAATCAAACAATGACACATTCACATTAGCATTTGCCACGCCGATGGAATCTTTTGGAAGACTCTGAGAATTCAAATGTGGCTCTGCCAAGCTGGCAACCTTAAATATCATGAGATTCTTAAAACCAAGGAGTTGGAGTGATGAAAAAAAAAAAAAAACTGTGCAAGTTTTTTTTTTTTTTTTTTTTTTACTAAGGGCAGTAAGAACGTCATTCGCTGCTGTAAATGACTAACAGTAACATTATTAAATGTCAACGATCATACTAGTACTCACAAGTATGCAGGGCAAACACGCGTGAGTAATTGAACAAAATGTGCTGTGTACCGTGACTAGCGCTAACAGCCCCTTCCAAATCATATTACACTTTTTTTTTTGCAGTACACTAATGTATTGCGGCAAAGGCGGCCTAAGAACTGTTCTGTGCAGCTTAGAACAAATCCAAGCAATTTTCAAACCGCTTAGCACCCATCCCCACACTTTTTTTTTTTTTTTTTCATGGAGGGGTCATCTTTAGGGCACAACTACTCTGCTCGCTTTAAAGGCACATTAGACCATATAAAGTAACAACAGTGCATGCCCGTTGACTCGGTAACGGGGCTGAATATCTATCGCCGGGACGACGCAACTTCAAGCCAGAAAAATATTTATCCGCCGTTGTTATGGCAACGATGGCATTCATAGCACATTAACTTTGCTCGTGCGTGGAAAACGCAGCTAGCATACGTTCCTAACATGCTATAACTGCTATGCTGACTAGAAAATTCATATTTTCCGCGAAGTGTTAATGGCTACGATAACGTTTTTTTTTTTTTTTTTTGTCCCACCTACAAGTATCAGCTGCAGTCAGTGAAACGGTGGGCAAGCAGCATTGTTACTTCTTCGTATACTTTATTTGGTTGATCGTGCCTCGCGACTGTCCTCACCTAATGAGTATATATCTTACACCATGGTTTAGGGTTAAGGTCTACACGCTTGGTTTGATTGATGATGCAAAATGCAGGGGGCCAATGTGGATTCCATTACTTGCTAAAGTTAGCACACCTGAAATATTTTTGAGGCTGGTCAGTAATTTTGGTGGAGCATGGTGCAATTTCAGCAAATTTCTTGGTTTTAGCACAGCTCGGCACAACGATGGGGCATTGTACCAACTTGGCTCAATTGGCGCGGCTATTGCACCCCTGATAGTGATCAAATCTTCCAGCACTAAGGCTGTCGCTAAGACCCAAATAAACTCAACTACTATTCGAGCCTTGCGCCTAATCTTAAAAAACAATCTGCAACTAACCCGAAGCTTCCCAAACATTGCTGCGCAGCCTGTGCTAAATGTTTTTACTTACACCCAATCACATCAATATGAGACAATATTGCGAGATATAAAACTTCTACAATCATTACTATTAATTATAACTCACTTCCTCAACCCACGAAATATATCAGGGGTCTCTACAGAAGTAAAAATGAAATGATATTTACGAAGGATGGAAGTCATAAACATAGGGCTCTATGAGCATAATTGAATGAAGGCCTTTGAGTCCCCTCACTAGAGCCTTTCAACAAATTTGGGCACTGAAACTGAACAAGTGTCTCATCATCACAAGTGTGCACAGTTTTGATGAAGGGAGTAACATGAGAAGAAAGTCTTTAGTGCAAGTACTTACATCTCAGGGTAAACAATGCCTTTTTCGAAGTAGCCACGGTCTCTGTGAGCCTTGCAGGCCAAAATCAAGCTCTCGGTACCCCCTGATGTCATCTGCACAGAATGGTTGTGGCACCAAGATTCAAACTCGATGTCCGTATGAAATGCACTGTCATAAATTTGTTGACTACTTCAAGTTTTTAGGCCACTCACTGGACGACATTACAGAGATGCAAAACATATCCACATCAGATGAACTTCTTTCCATAAAATATATTTACACATAACATACATAAATAAATAGTAGCTCACTTAAAAAATCTATTTACTCTCATGTAAAATGATGTTCAAACACAACTATCAACAGAGAGATGCCTGAAGATTTATGCTGACAAGGGCTGCATTTATTGTAAAATATATCTGTCACTGGAGGGGTTAAAGCAGTCTCAGTCACTCATAGAAAGCAGGCCAACAAAAAATGCAGGAGCTTATATCTCATTACTAAAATTAGTCTCGACCCAAATATATTGAGTCGTAATACCTGGAAACTTTTGGCACGAGTATGGAAACATAAACATACATATAAAGAGTTTCATTTTGGAGACGAAGACTGCTGCCTTCGTCAACATCATAACGCCACGACATGTGGTGGAGATGCTGCTTCGTCCATGTTCCAGACGCCCCGGGATGCGCTGACCCAAGCCCAAACCATAAAGAGCACACACACAAAAAAAAACCTGAACGCTGAAATAGCTGCAGGCAGAGGAGCCTTGAGCCAGGGTATGGGCTTCTTACGGAAAACACCAGACACTCCAAGACACTGATCTCGACCGTAGGCACGATGACAACCCCTGTGGCGCCAACACCAACTGTGCTTTAGCAGCCAGAAGAACCCTCAACATTCCACAGATCATCAGTCCAAGACCCAGAAAGCTGGCTGGAAGCACACGACTGTGCAGCAGCTTCAACCACTGAGACGCTGATAACAAACTGTAATGTCTATTTTGTCTTGGAAGATGCCGCCCGGACCTGGCTGGAGAACTAAGAGCGAAGCCTGACAATGTAGACCATTTTTCCCAGCGGGTTCCCAACCACATTCACAAGCGTTGTCTGCAAGAAGAGGGTACAAGCTCTGCTGAAAACATGTGCAGCTGCCAAATTAAAACGTGGCACTCTTCCACGAACACATGATGAGACTGTTCCACCATGCAGACCCCGAAATGCCCAAAGAAAAGAAGGTTCTCCCCTCATGAGAGGAGTTGACTTTCGTTATCGCGCGAAAATGGTTGTTTCTCATATGTCTCGAGAATATCGTTTTTGCCAGCTCCAAAAATACTCCAGCACGCATTGCAGCTTACCAGCCTTTGCACATTGAAATGCACTTTTAAAAAAATATTGTTATAGAGAAATAAAAATATTTTACAATGAATAAAAATGCAAAAAGTGTGGAATTTTCGGTCCCCGTGTACTAAACAAGGCGATTATACACTATATATACAAAAATATTCAAAACGAAAAATTCAGAATATGCACCTTGTAGATAAATAACCCCATAACAGTACAAAAATAATTAATGTCGTACAAAATGTTTCCCTTCACATATACAAAAAAAAATCAGAACTGAGGTGCTGCTCCATTGCTCATGCAATGCGGTGACCATTGCATGGTTTTTCGTGAGACACACTTTTCACAGCAAATTTTTGTGGTCTTGCGATAAGACTTTCCAGGTGTTCCAATATAGATGGATACCCGTGATGTAAATCTCTCTATAAATTAGGTGTCCAATGAACTTCACTATACATCTAGCATGAGCTCTTTCCTTGAGCCACCTCACTCCGCATAGGCTGACGTTCCAATATATGGTATAACTGTCAGTTCAAGTGCACAAATAAACAGAAAGGAAAAGAGGATTCGTGCACTTGAACTGACAGTTATACCATGCATATCCAACTAGCCCAACTTTCAATTCTAGTGCCAATATATGCACTGGTTGGTTGGTAACAACTTTATTGGAAGTCCAGCCAAGCTTTCACTGATCGAGCCTTAGGTCTTGAAGCATATTTATTTTCATTTTTGCACATTTTATATAAAAAAAGGACAATATCGCAGAGAGTCATAAAAACCTTTCACACTGCTTCATAGTCAGAGCCAAGTTGTGCTCCGAGGGCCTTCCTATATTAGAAGCTCTGCAGCCAGGGCCAGCCCAACGCGCCCTAGCGAAGTTTGGACCACGCAAATAACCAGAGCAGCTTTAAAATTGTGCACAAAGGTCAGAAGCTATATACACTTGTGGCGGAGGAGACAACTTGGGGATGTAAACGAAACAAACCCATGAATGGCTGCCGATGTGCGAGGCTTATGCAAAACACCATCGCCATAAAACGTGGAGCTGAGGTGCTGTCATCCTCAAACTCTAAGCTTGTCCTCACTCAATTCAGGTGGGGTTGCAAGACAGTTTCGAGCAGCGCATGTATTTTGCAATACTGGTTTGCACCCACGCGCACGTCACGACATTGTCATAGGAGCAACTAGTGACCCTAGATGCGATTGTGTGTCTGATATAACAATACAAGCAAAACCAAAGCTGCTGGAAACAATCAGAAGAGGCTACCTCGGCACTTCAAACACAAGCCAACCTTCGTAAATATTTTTTGCAGAAGAAATTTTCCCTGACCTTGAGGAACAGCTTTATATTGAATAGCTGGTATAAATTTCTAGCAATTATTACTGCTCAACATTTTCGAACTGTAAAGCTGACACTTTAATGCAACATTTGGCTTGCAAAAGTTCTTTCCATCACAGAACTTTGATGTTGCTGTAGCATAATTACGAGGGGCACGCACTTCTGTCTAGTTCGCCAGCCTAATGCACTTTTTTAATAAACGCACATTGGTTGGCAGAAAGGTCTGTCAAAAATCACGATGTTGCCAAAACGGGCAAATTCAAATTGATTCTGAAAGTTGAGTGCCTAGACTAACTGCTACAGTGAAACCCTGTTAATACGTGCCTGCTGGTTACAGCAGCATTACTACGCACTAAATGAACTATGGATTAACCATCAGCTACAAATTCGCATCTGCTGACATGCGCCCTCGCTGCCAACAAAGGAAGAAACTCGGTGCCACGGGAATAGACCTCTACTGGGGTACGTCACAGCCTAACGACACCGGTGCACGTGCAAGACGGTGGTTGGGAAAAAACTACCGCCGGTGGCTGATTGGGGTGCAGTCGCTCGATGCTTGGGGCAGGTTTTTTTTTTTGAAAGCTTAATCTCACAGTGGCAACATTAGCTGTGGTATGTGTCAGAGAACACCTAGGTGTGTGGTAAAGTGCATGATGAAATATTCGCCATGCTGGCTGGTTGTTTCTCTCGGAAAAGTGAACACACGTGGTGGCCAGTGCGAGAAACAGTGGCGTCTTCTTCAAAAATATGCAGTGTTGACTGTGGCGTGTAGTGTTCGTTGAAAGGCATCGACAATATTGGTTGACATTTACAGGTGTGCGCGGTGTAAATACCACGATGCGTCCTGTTCGCGAAAACATTGGTATTCGTAGTGGGCCAGCAGCAGTAGCCAGTTGTCGATAGAAGTGCCATTTTTTGGGCGTGTTGGTAAAGGGAGCTTGACGACATATTGAGCGCTAAGAGACAGGGACAGGAGAGAGTGGACACCACAATGCGCTAACTTCAACAATTTTTATTTTCAGGAAACGCGAACCTATAAATCCGTGTACAGTGGCGCCACCAGTCTAACCACTAGCCCAGCAGAAAAGCCCTTTCTCGATCTAACAAGTCAACTGACGGTGCACTTACACATGCGTCACCTTTGCGAAAGATAGCATGGGCTTCAATTATCTCTCGCACGTCTTTATCTTTATGCTTCGCCAGAACACTGCAGGATGCGTACAAGGGTGTGCAACCACATTCCACGCAATGTACTGACAAATGGCCATAATTATTCTTGTTTTTAACATTGAGCTTATGTTCAATGTTAAGCTCAATGTTAACAAGAATAACATAAGCTCAATGTTAAAAACAAGAATAATTATGGCCATTTGTCAGTACATTGCGTGGAATGTGGTTGCACACCCTTGTACGCATCCTGCAGTGTTCTGGCGAAGCATAAAGATAAAGACGTGCGAGAGATAATTGAAGCCCATGCTATCTTTCGCAAAGGTGACGCATGTGTAAGTGCACCGTCAGTTGACTTGTTAGATCGAGAAAGGGCTTTTCTGCTGGGCTAGTGGTTAGACTGGTGGCGCCACTGTACACGGATTTATAGGTTCGCGTTTCCTGAAAATAAAAATTGTTGAAGTTAGCGCATTGTGGTGTCCACTCTCTCCTGTCCCTGTCTCTTAGCGCTCAATATGTTGTCGATAGAACTTTACGATCTTACATTTTATTCAAGGTAAAAATGCATTTGACGCGATCATCTGCGAGTGGGTACATCTCAGCATATGCGCGGCATGCAGAAAAAGTGCATGATCTCCTGGTGATATATACGACTACGCATGAGCTATAAGTATGTTGTAGGGTTGCCGAATCTGTATATACGCTTCACCATGACTATAACTCGTATTATCGGATACCTGATACGTGTTAATGGAAACAGCGGAGATTTTCGTTTCTTATCTACTTTGCACTTTTATGGCTCGACCCTTATAAAGTAACAATGCGCATTAGAAGTTTGTGCATCAAGCGTAAAGGAGCAATATAGGTACAAAAACATGGTATAGGTGTCAAATGCAGCAAGTCAACTGTAACAATATTGGCTCAAATGCAACGCCCCCACGCGACGCTGATAGTTGTGCTGAGCTGTGCAAGCCTGGCACAGCGGGCTTGGCCGTTTTGGAAACAATAAACGAAAGTTCGTTCTGGGCAAAGGGCTCAACATGTTCTCACGTTCTTCACGGGCCTGATGGCCTACTGTTCACGGTAGTCACTACCGCCTGGCCATCCGTTAATCTACACATGTAACAACTGGCGACGAGAATGAAAAAAAGTTCCATGTAAGTCTTCGTTCCCACACCGCTCTGCCATCTGTTCACCATGCCAAGTTTCGGCAACCTCGAGCCGTTCGAGGGGGAAGGAGATGACTGGCCGTGTTACGTGGACC